AATTATAATTTGATTTTTTAATATGATCAAAGTTAGATAAACATAAACATAAACACTCACAAAGAGAAAAATTTAATCCCATACATAGCACGGGTGATACGCTAGTTGCAACCTAAAGCAAAGATTAGAGCTTAGAGAAAGAAGGGTTCATACATAGGGCTTCAATTTTGGATATTCAATTTGGTTTTTTTTTTTTCCCTCAAAAAGTTCAACTCTTAACACCTCATGTTGTTAATAGGGCTCCAAATGATTTGTAAAATCATTTTTAATACTACATAATGTATATATTGTCATATAATTTCAATTAATTCAGGATTTCAGGTTTTCAATCAAAAATCAGACATCGTCATTCATCTTGGGATTAACCACTTAAAATACATCCCCTTCTTCGGTTCTTCAACTTCACCGCTCTCATTAAATTCAAGATTGTTATCCTGTTGTTCAACTTTCTCACTCGCATTGAATGAATTATTGTTTGAATTAATATCCATTGTAGCTTCAAAGTGAAATAGAATAGACATTCAGAGATAAACTCAATTTCAATTTAACAGTACAATTACTAATTCTTCATAACAACAATAACAACACAAAGAAACTCAATTTAAGTTTAACAGCTTTTCTTTAATTCTTCAATTTAAGTTTGACAGTTTAGAGACAAACTTAATTTAACTTTAACAATTTAAGTGTTCAGAGATAAACTCAATTTATGTTTAACAGTGTTTTCTTTAACAGTTTTTCTGTAATTCTTCAAACTGAAAAAAAACAAAACAAAACAAAACATACTCTACATGGATGGCCTGGGATGACTGTTCAAACTGGAAAAAAAACCTTTACATAGACATTCAAACTAAAAAAAACTTTGTTCAAAGTTGTTTATCTTTACATCACTATTTCTAAGCACAGACATGATCAAATAGGCACAATTGATGGCCTGGGATCCCCTCCTATAGTGGATTTTATAAGATAAACAGCTTGTTCATTTTTTGGGGGTAAATGATCAAATAGCCACAATTCTTCATTATAAGATTAAAAAAAAAAATAGTGCTTCTAAGCACAGACATGATCAAATAGCCACAATTCTTCATCCCTTCAATTAAAAGGTGAACAACTTTAAACAATACTCAATACTTGTTCATTTTTTTTTTTCTAAGCAAACATAAAGAGTTAATCAAATCAAAACACTAATTCTTAATCACACAAGGTGAAACCCTAAATTAACAACAAAACCAACAAATTTCAGATCATACAGAGCATATTAACTAAAATTCAATATCCATTTTAGCTTCAAAGTGAAATAGAACACAAAATTTTAGAGTCAGTGGACAAAACATTGATGGCCTCCAACATTCTTATCACACAACAATCAACATTACAAGAAAGCAAACAAGAACAATAATTTGGAGGTCAAGACATACAGTTAGTGGACAATTTTAGAGTTATGTTCTCAAATTGTTGCAAACATGAGAGTATATATGATGAAGGGGTAGCTTTTATACCACCAATGTTAGGCAAAAATTCTATTTACACCACCAAAAATTTATACCAATAGTGCAGTGCCCAGTGCCCAATTTATAACAATAGTTCAAGTATTCTTTTCTAGTAAAAACAATTATCTTATTGTAACAAATATTGCGATTTTTATTAGTAACCTTCTAAAAAAAGTAACAACTAATTCATTAAAGCTATTTGAGATATGCAAAACAATGACAAAAGTTGGGGAAAGAATGACGAAGGGACATGGCAGCCACTTTAAGAATTTGTCATTGAATAGAATTTGTCATTGAACAGAATTTGTCATTGTTAAAGAATTCTTGAATTACTTGTGTCCTTTAACGACAAAATCTGTAACAACTAATCCTTTTGCCATGACATATATACCCATATATGTATTTTAGAAATCAAAATTCTGTATTTAGAACTTCTGTATTTAAGATTCAAATTAGTACCGAATTTCTGTCAAATTAGTACCAAAACAGTGTAAAATACAAAATTCTGTATTGACAGTATTTAGAAATTCTGTATTGACAGTGATAAAATTCAATGTATTATTGATTGTTGTGTATATTACAAGATTGATTTGTGTATATTGATTACAACTCCTATATATAGAAGAGAAGGTAGCAGATTGTGGTGGTGCTGGTAGGGGGTGAAGTGGAGGTGGTAGGTAGAGTGGGTTAGGTTTAGTGGAGTTGAGTGGGTGTAGTGGGTTAGGTTTAGTGGTACATTAACAGACAGAAATTCTGTATTTTAGAAGTCAAAATTTGGTATTAAAAATTCAACCCAAAACAGCGTTGATTTCGTGTCTTGACAGAGCAATTGAAGAGCAAATGAAGAGCAAATCACACAAGAGGAAACAAAATACCTATGGACACAGTAATTTCTGCAACTCAAACAGTGAAGACTCCTCTTCTTCCACTATGGACAACACAACGGCAGCAGCTTGCAGCACCCACGGCAGCAACAGGACCCAGATCACTCCTCTCACTGTGACGCTAGGTTACGAACGATACATGCTTCTCTCCCTTTAATCTCTATTCTTGTTTTTCTTTTTCTTTTTTTATTGTTTTCCAAATGAAATGTTTGGGTGTGGGACTTCATTCAAGCACACGCCCACAGCAGAAAAAAAACCAAATTCGGGCCACTCTCGAGCCACACTCTTTTGAGCTACGTACCGGAGTTGGAACAACCTAGTCCAAGGTTCTCTCTCGCCATTCTCGTTCATTATCCATACATCAACATAAGTCGGGAAGTTGCAGAGCACATGGAGGCATCCTTTTAAAACACCCAATGTCAAATCAATAACACAATCCCCATAATCAGAGAGCTTTTGAAGACTTGAAATAAATAAATACCACATCTATACACAATTAATCAAACATCATATTCATCAACATAGTAATAATAATAATAATGCAAGAATAAATTTCAAGTCTTTACATGAAATCTTATATAAAGTGCTCACAAATTTGTATAATATAATCCTACAATTAATTAGCCAAAAGAATCAATAACCTAAACAACTCAAAAGAACATTCACAAGAAATCAAATTGCTGCTTAGACCAACTCTACCACTACTGTTCTCTTCAAGTTTTCTTCATCATCAGGTGGTTCTTATTGTTCTTTCAGTTTCTTCATCAGGTGTTGGTCAGTTTCTTCATCAGGTATTGGTTCCACCTTGTCTTGCTTCTTTCCAGTTTTAATTTCTTCATGTGGATCTTCTTCTTCGTCGTCTTCCTCTTCTGGAAAATCACGGTAAGTGTAGAAACTAGCAACATATGCAAAGATAAACAGATTGGCTATGCTCACCACCACTAATGCAGCATAAAAAAGATCCAAGCGGCTCTGATTCACAGTGTCTGCAATCCAACTTCCATCTTCAACTCTCAACTTCTCGACCACCACGTCTAATTCATATAACTATGTTCAGTATATTTTCCCCATCCGATCACAGCTTCAGTACAGTCATATCTCTTCCTCATTGACTCTGGAACCTGATACTTGAAGAAATCCTCCATACCATCACGAGCTAATCCATCATGATTCCCATCAGTACAAACTGTAGAGAAGCGCAAATATAGATATTGGTGCAATGGCATCGGATGACCTACAACCGTGTGCTTCTTCAAAGATTTTAGCCTTATAACTCCACCAACCAAGCAACTTTCAACAAACAAAGCGGCCAGCAATTCCTAAACCAACCTTCATTCCAGATGAGTATCTCCCATTCAATCGCTCTATTCGTTGTTCAAATACTATCCTATACAGAGGTTTCACTGCAGATGTCGCGAATCCTGCCATAAGACGGAGATTTGAATGGGGAGTTGAATTTGAATGCTGCTTTTTTCGTAATTGAAACGAAAATGACCTTATTGCATTGCTTGCGCAGTGAAAAAAGTATTACTGTGCGATTTGGAATCCCCGCACTACAAAAAGAAAGGTAGCTGAGATTGGAACCATTCTTGACAGAAGGCTTTGTCTCCTCACTCATCCACTGTGCAATTAATCCATCCAATGGGAAGCAGGTGAAATTGGCCTGGCACATTTATTTTGCAGCATATTGATGAGCACCTGCGGCAAGTGTAAAAGATGGTTAAAAACTACACAAATTTTACACCAATACCATTTCCAACTTTATTTCAAATTAGGTTACTAATTGTACATTTATTAATTCCGAACATCCAGTACAATCAAAAACTGAACACGTAGTCAGCTTACCCGCTGTGTGGTAAAGGTTCAGATCTCAATGAATGATGACCAAGAAACATAAATAGGAAATGTTCAGTATTTTTGAAACAAAAAAATGCCAACCAAGTTTTGGTTTATAGTTTTTAAATTTCTATAAATGGTAACATAAAAATGTATACACGATACTATTTAATGAATCATGGTGTACCACGACAGTGATCAGTGTAGCGTCCGTGCCTTTTCTTGGACCTCGAGGTGTCTTCTGGTTGTGACCTTGACCTTGAGGTGTCTGATCCTTATTCCCATAGGTTCAATTCGTACCCTGACTTTAGTAGAGTCAAGATGCCTCTTAAGATAGCAGCCGAGGACCCAGCAACCATGTTGTGAGGGGACTCTGCTCGCAGTGAGGGGGGGAAAGAAATGCGTTTATCCAATAAAAATATAGCGGTCCCAATTGCCATTTCGCCATGCAGACATATATCAAATAGCGATGAGTACAATCAGGAGCAAAAAATTGGATTACAAAAGCCATTGTATGCCACTCTGCCATTTCCAACTATGTTGTGCAGGTATTTCGAATAATATCTTACTGACGTTGTCCTTTTGTCTTGAACATTTCTTCGGCGAACTTCAACTTCAAGAAACCAAATTTGATTACCTTAGCTCGTTTCGGGTGGACCTCTTTTGAATTTGTATTTTACCAAAGGTGGAGGGCTCTTAACATATTCCCTGACCAGCCTTGGCCAAGAACATCAAAGCTTAATCCCAATAGACATGGCTGAAGCAGTTAGGCTTTTGAAGGCATAATTCTCCCGCTGGACACGACGTTTACACCCTTGGAAAGAATCGACCAGGAACAGACATTACTAGCAACCCCAATCCCTGCATCAAATGTTCCTATTCATTAGTCGGAGACAAAATTGAAAAATATTTTAAATTAATTTGGACCGCTTGTGATGTAAGGGTAAGTGTGTATATGCATAGTTGACTCTAATTTGAGCGTAGATATTGGTGAGTTTCCAACTAAGATCCCTGTGGGTGGTATTGGCACCTAGTGAGTGGTTAACCTAGTTTGAAGAAATGTAAGGTCGTCTTGATCAAAAGTTTAATTGCGATTCAGATCAAAAAATTAAAGAAAGTTAGGTTACTTGTATTGGTTCCAAGAGTTGAGTCTTGATTAAATTTAATCATTGGCATATTCAAAGATTATAAGTAAGAAAGGGTTATTGTTACATGCCATTTATAAAAACACCAATTGAAAAGCCATATGTGATTTGAAATTTCATTCAATTAATGTCCATATTTTATTTTTCTTATTTTTTCTGGCCCTGATGTAAGAGCTTTGGCTTCCACTAGATGTTGACACCAAGACCATGGACTAAATTATGCTCGGCAAAAGCAAGTTGAAAATGTACAAAGGGCTTCTAGAAAAGGCTAAAATATGAGTTGGTATATTCTATCCAGTCGATTAATCCAATTGAAGCTATTTTATTCCAGCTATTGAAAATGCAAGGAAATGACCGCGATCCTGACCTATATAACCGTCGCGAAAATGCCACGAGTAGCCTAGTTTAGTTTTGGTTGTCGATTCCCAGTCAGAACAGAGTAGTTTATCTATATCTTCACTACTACTACTAGCAAATTAGCAATGCTATGCCACAAATGAAAGGGGTGTGTAGAATTCCGGCGACTTACAATGCTGTAAAGAACACTTGTGATGAGCAACATCCCAGCGTGGCCAAAATAAGCATCTATGAGAGCGGCCTCCACTAAGCCAATGATACCTGCCGCTCCACCTTTAATGTTCATGATTGCAACAGCATGCTTGAGCTTTAACTTCCAAAAGTGAGTCAAGAAGGTCACCAAGTTAGTCAAGACATACACGGCCATACTGTTGCTGTAAATCAGACCTGCAATATAGAGATTCTGGTTTTTAGCACAAAGATTCAGATCTTATTTTATAATAACATGAAGTGTTAAATATTCAATTCAATGTGACTACATTGACAAAGTAGGGAATCGGCATAATTTCCCTTTTCTAGGTTAAAACCAACATAGAAAAATCTAGGGAAGTTATTATCAAATGTACTTTTACAGCATAATTTGAGAAACATATAAAATAGGTTTGGACAAGTTACATGGACCTTCCTTGATAATTGGCAAAACTACATTTGAGTAATTTGAGATACACCACCATCATCAACCATTTTTTCCCGCCACGGTCTCACCTCCACACACCATCACATCGCCACAAGCCTCACCCCCATCACCTGCCTTCCCACCACAATTACACCGCCCGCCAAACCACAGTACCGCCACCACAACAATTATCATCTCCCTTCACTCTGGCAATCCACTGCCGCCACCACCACCACCAAAATACCCGACCACCACCATCATCCAAATCCAACAACAAATCACTACCAAAACTGACCCACCCATCACCACTAAAATCAACCCCTTGGATCGTCATCTGAAGCCCCACCTCCTCTGCCCATCGTTGTCTGAAACCCACCATATCCGAACGGTTGAGTTCAGGGAACTGCAGGGGTGGCGACCAGCTATGGCACTGGCGGCGGTAGAAAGAAAGAGGGGACTGCGAGTTGCGGGTCGGGTCTTGGATTCAGTGTGGATCGGTCGGTCTAAATAAGATGGGAATTTGGTGGCTTGCTTGATTTTGTAATTGTGTGGAATTAGTTAGGAATAGGAATAACTAGTTCAAAAAAAAAAAAAAAAATGGAATAGGAATAAGTTGTTCCAACAAAGAATAAGAAGGGTAATTTTGAAATTCAGGTGAAAAATAGGCAACCCCTGTCTAGAACTATTTATCACAAGTGTATAAGCTAGAATTTTTGTTTTTGAAAATTTAAAGAGTGATAAAACAATTTTATTTTATATTTTTTAACAACTTAAGTCAAGCACTCCGCCTGAGAAGATATAAGAAAAAACTTGATGTCTTAAAATAAATAAATAAATAATTCATACTAGAGGAAAAAGTGGCCATACTTTAGGTATGTTTTCTCTCTTCTTGGACCTAGTCTGCAATTGCTTGAATCAATGACATGTTAGTGGTGGATGAAGTTGTATTCTCTTATTGCCTCTTATTATTTAAGGTAAATTATATATACATTTTTTAAAATTTACTTAAAATATAAATTATTTTATGTAGTTATAGAAATTAGATTTTATTTATTAAATTTTTTAATTTCATAATAAATAGATCTCTTTATTAATAAATTATCAATTAAATTAACAGTTTTTAATGATGTCAAATTTTTTTTCAATTAATAATTTAAGTAATTTTATTATTATATAAAAAAAATAGTTAGAAATTTTTTTAGCTAATTTTGTTAAATAAAAAATTCTAATAATGAGATATTTATAATTTTTAAAATTAATTTATATTTTAAACAAACTTTAAAAGGATATTTGTAATTTACTATATTACTTACTAACTAAGATACGATAAGATGATTCAAATGTGTTGGGGGCTTTATGGATGTGGTCTATTTGGTGGACTTGGAAAGGCAACAAATTACTGGATTTGAATTTACGGCAAATAGAGCAGACCGCTCTTGTAAATTATAGGGCTCGTTTGGTTTGATTTTTTGAAAAAATTTTGGGAAATTTTCTCTATAAATAAGTTTTCAAAAATAATCAAACCAAACAAATTTTCTCAAAAAAATTTCTTAAAACTTGTAAACTAAACAAGTTTTCCAAACAAATCTCTCTCTCACACATATCAAATCAATCACTTTTTCCAAAACTCTATCTCAAAATAATTTTCCAAAACATCTTTTAGAAAAAACCAAACCAAACATGTTTTCGTACTTTTTATCTCTAAAACACATCTCTCAAACACAAACCAAACATACCCATAATGTGCTAGTAGTTGCAGTTGCGGATGATATTTATATCAGAACCTTAAAATGAAATGCAAATTTAAAAATAAAAAAGAGTGTGAGACGAAACTAGTTGCTATAATATTGAAGATAGCATAAGCTTCACAAGAAAGATGCAACTAATAAATATTTACCTAGAACGACGAGAGCTTGACGTTCTTGATATTTGAACCATCCCTGAATCCTCCTCTTTAACTCCATATTCTCTCTCTACTTCTCTAATTCATTTCTCCCAAATATAAAAATGTTCATAAAAGAAGGAAGGAAAGAAAGAAAGAACGCGGTCAGTCTATTTTATTATGATTACTTTTTGATTTGCCGCGGTTTGGTGGTGACACACTGACGCAATTGTTATGCGCGTGGTTGATAAGGTAGCATTTGGTATGTTTTCATTTTATATTTATAAAAAATTTATAAATTGATTTTTGTTTATTTTTAAAAAAATATAAACTACAAACGCTTTTGGTAATTGACAAAATATTTAAAAAAAATTAAAAATATAAAAAAGAGTGAGAAATGGTAAGTGGTGGCAAGTGGTGGCGGAAGACGGTGGTGGAAAGTGGTGACGGTGGGTGGTAGGTAGCGGGTGGTGAGTGGTAGCGAGTGGGTGGTGGTCGCGAATGGTGGGTGGTGGTGGTAGGTGGGTGGCGGATGGCGAGTGGTAGTGGCGGGTGGTGGTAGTGGGTGGGTGGGTGATGGTGGCGGGTGGTGGCTGATAGCGAGTGGGTGGTGCAGGGCCGGCCGTGGGGCATAGGCCATAAGGCCATGGCCTAGGGCCCCTCAAAATAGAGTTAAAAAAGGGGCCCCCTCATATTATAATTTAGTGTAATATATTAGGTATATTTTAAGTCTAAAAAAATTAAAAAATGCCCAAATTAACTTAAAATAAATTGGCCCATTAAAAAATTGAAAGGCCATTCAAAAAAATTAGCATTGTTATCCATTGAAAATATACCCAAAAAAGGGGTCTCTCTTATTATAGTTTAGTCTAATATATTAAGTATATTTTAAGTCCAAAAAAAATTAAAGAAGACCCAAA